TGATCAGGCAAAGGGTTGTTTGAGTGTTTATGGTGTCTATATAGAACCATTTTCTTTACTAAAGAACCCCTTGAAGAACCATCTTTTTAAAGAATGTAACAAACTGAAAAGAAGAGAAACGAGAATATAAAGGCACACAGAGAAGTAGACATGTACAGAGTACATCTTTCAAATTGTGTTCAGTGTAAATTTGTATACGTTCTGTGTACATTTGTAGATGTTCTGTGTAAACATACTTGTTTGAAAACTGATAAAATAGGAATGTAGGCCAATTTAAAGCAAACAAAAAATAGAAAATACAATTTGGAAATCATGTATATGTTAATTAAACCAGGAAAACGCAAGACATTATTCACTCAACTCCTCTAATAAGGAGGATCTTTTAGCGACAGAAGCTGCTCCTTCGCATGTCCTAATACTAACGGTGATTATATTACAATTATTTTTAGTGAACAGAGTAACCCAGATAAAGTTTAGCTTAACTTCACTCAGTATAAGTCTGTCTGTTAATAGTTTTGTCATTAAGTTGTGAGTTTGATCTTCCACAGAGTTCAAAACTTTTTTCAGCTTCAGAAATGAAATAAAAACAGCTCCACCCTTTAGATGATCAGCATTGTGATTAATTTACTGCAAACGCCGCTCTCACTGCAGGTTGGTATTGAGGGGTTTCCTGTTCCTGAACGAACAAACAAATGAAACGTGTCAGTTATTGGTTTCTGTATTTGACTACGAGATTCACTAGCTATTCAGAATGCCCATCTCTAGTCTGGGCTGGCTAGCTCAACTGTTTTTCTCTCATTCTCACGCATGAGAATGAACTGCTTGGTTATTTGTAATTGAGTATGTAATGGAGATTTTATGTTGCGAAAACTGAAGCCATGTAACATTAGCCTGTATTGCACAGCACGTGGTACAGTGAATAAAAATACATTGAATGAACTCACATGAGAAATGATGCTGATCCAAAAGTTTAGAGGTAAGACATAAATAATAAGCTAGAGGACAGAACAGAATGAAATAATGACATTATTAACTGGTAACAGGCTTTTCACACCTTGCATTAACATATGATTTTTGTGCTCAGATCACATTTAGATTTCACTTGATCCCAAGAAAAGCCAGGTGTAAATGAAGGGTTTTGTTCCAAAACGCATTATAGACAACCTCATGATTTTTTTTTAAATAATTTACATGTACAGGAAATATCACTGATATGATTAGTACCACCTTTATAAGAGAAATAAAAATGTATTTTCCATGACGTGTCAGCTTCTGTTCTTTTCAAAAAACTCCAAAATTGTTACATATGGACATACAGCATTTTTGAACAAAACTCTTCAAATGTCAGGGACGCATTGTGATTGGATTACGATCGCATCACAAAAATCACATCAGACAGATGTTAAGCACATTCAACACAAGTGTAAATGGAATGTGTTTCCTTCATCTGTATTCGTTTATGTAAGAGGAAATGCATCTGCTGGATACTGACTTACAGGTGAGGGTATAATAAATGTATGAGTTGATGTTCTTTTTACACAGGAAAATAAAATCAGATCTCATCTGGTCACACTGGGGATGCATTTTAGTGAAAAGTGAGATATGATATGATCCAGACATACGAAATCTGGAAATAAGCTCAAGTTATTTATATTAACGTAGTCAACAGATTCTGTTTTCTAATAGAACGTATCTGGCAAAAAATAAACTGCACTGAACCAAAAGCATCTTTTAAGAAATCTGCATGCATCTATGTCTCATATTGTCTCAGTGCTTTAATAAAGTCCATTACACTGTGTTTTCACTCTGCAGCAAGGAACTGATTACTCTAATTAGAACCTATTAAAATGTGCTTTTATAATCATAGCAGTAATAATAAGTCTATTTAGCTAAATGAAAAACCAGTAGTTCAGTGGGTTAAAACATCCCGCCACTGGATCACCTTCGTCTTTTAGCCCTTTGTTTGTTGGGTCTGGGAGGCTTCATGGGACAGCAGGGTCTGATTGGCATTCTGAGGGCAGTTATGAAGGAGCTCGGGTCGAAGTGCTCCATCTTCATGCATCCCTCCTGGCCCAGGCTGAGAGAGAGAGCGGATGGCAGAAGCAGACAGCGGTGACGTCGTCCTGCTGCTGTGCATCTATAATGAATCTCTGCAGCTCTGGCTGCTTTCAGCCTCAGTGACTGACATGTTGCAAACTTGGCCAAACTCGTACCCCTCCAGACTCGATTTTCATTAGAATCATTTCAGTGCACTCGTGACTTTACTGACTGATTCTTGCTCTGTCCACAGAATAAAAAATCATAGAACAAAAAAAACTGCGCCCAAACTATCCTAACAGTTTTTTTTTATTCATACATAATAATTGTGTGCTACTATTTCTTATTAGGTTGAATTGAATTATTGGCCAATGTAACTTAGCAAAAGACATTATAGAGACATTATAAATGAGGATACTGGTCATTGGTTGAAAAATGAATGGGTAAGCTTGTAAAGCTCAATATGGCATCGCTTTATGGAGAAAGTCCCGCCCTTCAATAAGATGAGCCAATCAACTTGCTAGTAAAGCCGCAAGTGGGAAAAGCTCCCTGTCATTGTGGTAGCATGTGCATGCCCAGCAACCAAAACAAGCTGAAAAAAACATGTTTTCAGGCCACAGGAACAAACTCTGTACACTGGTTTTGTCATATTTTATTACTGATGTCAAATATGTTGACATGTTAACGTGACTTCAAGTGTCGGATTTATAGGTCTCTCCCCATTCAAACAGATAGCAGTCTTGTCTTGAGAGGGAATAACTGCTTGGGTGCACTGCCAAGATGGTCACCAAGTGAACAGTCTTTCCAATAAAGACTAATGAATTTAAGTTAGAAATTAGATTCACTACGTAACACTAACTTTTCTGTTTAAGTTGCTAAGCCGCCAAAAACTGGACTGTGTTGTAACTAATCAAAGCTAGGCCGTATGGAAACAACATCAATGATGATTTTACTTGCGCGCTAACATTAGCTCGATTACTTGATAACCCTGTCTATTCTAATTGTATGTCCTTTTACACACATACAAAATAAATACTATTTGAAATTAATAAAACACTCGAAATGTCTGTATTTTCACAGTGAGACTTACCCATGCTCCACCCACAAATGAGTTCATCTTTAGCAAATGGTCAGAGGTTAAACAGGAAGCATTCTGCCTTCATTCACTGGCAAAAACTCAGTTCAATCTAATGAGAAATTGTATGTGAGTGTACCACTCAGTGTCTGTCAAAATATATAAATTAATTAAATTGGACCACTAGAGAGTCACTATATAACTCATACCGAGCTGCACTCTGTACCTAATGGAAATTAGGTAGGCTGGAAATGTCAAGAATATAGAATTTGCTACCATAACAACATTAGCTTGTTTTAAACAATTACAAAAACTGCAAAAAAGAACAAAAAGAGAGTCATACATACAAAATCATTGCAATTTGAGCTAAATTTCTGAATCTTATCAAAACCACATTGTGTGCTACAGTTTATCATTAGACTGAATGGGGTATTTTTTAAAGCTTGCAACAGTTGCTAAAAAAGAACACATTTTTAGGAGGAGCATGGTCAATGAAAGCCAGCATAAATGGGAAATGATACATTTTCCTTTCATACTATAACGTATTTCGGCATGAACGCAGCATCAGGGAGGGTTTCTGAGCTAGCTGAGTGTTTACGATAATAGGGTGGAGACAGTAGGAGGTGGAGGTGAAACATGACACTGTGGCGTGTTCAAGAAATGTTTTTGAAATGTTGGTTTAGGTTATTGGTTCTTCAGTATTAATCACAGATTATTGTGTTATTGTGAAGGCGGGACTAGCTTTCCTTGGGAAAGAAATGCATAGAGCAGGAAGAACTGAGAGTCAGTCAAGAGCTGACGGCTGAGCGATTAAAGCTTAGCTGAGGCTTAGAGCGTAGCTGTGGCCAAAAACAGCTGGTTAATAAAGCACCATGACTTGTGCAAAAGCTGCATCTTTTTAATAGCGGTGAACGCTACAATGTTATTGGTTAATATTTTACCCTGCCCGCTGGTGCATGATGACATAATCAAAACTCGGAAGATGTTTAAGCGTCATTAGTGTCAAAAGTCATTACATTTTCATTACGAGTTTTGTTTACCTCCCTATAGAACCTTTTACTGCATGGTTCATTGGAGAACCATTGTTGTAATGAGCTGTGTGAATGTGAAGAAACTTCTTAAAGAAACTTCTTAAACTTTCTAGAACATTTACATAATGTAAAGGTTCTAGAAAGAACAAAGGAATTGTTAAAGAGCCTTTATGTTACGTGACCATGAACTAAAAATGGGTTGAAATGGGTCAGTAGTGGTACATCGGTGTGCATAAAATGAAAAGGAAAGTTTATTTGTGCGCAATGAACTCCATCGCTCTGCACTAATTGCAGCCTATTAATCTAATGAATCGATTCTGTTCTGTAGTCCAAATGGCATGTTTATCTGACAAAGAAATAAACACAGAGCCAAAAGCATCTTCTAAGAGATCTGCACGCATCTAGATCTTACATTGTCTCAGCGCTTTAATAAAGTCCATTACACTGTGTTTACATGCTGGCAACCAGCAGCTCCTTCACTCTGCAGCAAGGAATTGATTACTCCAATTATATGCACTTAGATTGTGCTTTTTCTAATTAGCAATGCATATTCATTCACGGTTGCACAATTAAGACTGTAGAGTCACAACACAAACTTCCACAGCACTTTGTCTGGGCTGTTTGTGGGCTGATGCACCCCATGGACCCTTTTAAATGCATTATATACCCCCATTATATACCCAACGCATTCAGAGGACAGGCTGAGGGATTTCAGGCTTTCCTAAAGGTTTCTATACTACATCTTCCCTTCTGGAATAAAGATGAGCGCGCGCACATTCTCTCTCCTTCTTTCTCTCTCGCACACACACACGTACGCATACACACACCTCGATGACTCATTCAGATTCCTAGCGAAGTGTTCACTTACGTTCATTCAGGTCCACTCGTTTCTCCTCTGCGCAGACTCAGGGCGCCCAACTGCGTGACACATGTCGCCTCCCCTGCCTATATAAAGCCCAAACTCCATCCCTGCTCTGGAGAAAGTGCTCAAACTCACAGCTCCGCACGCCACAGCTGGGGGAGAGTGCTAACCAAGTACAAAAAAAAGAGAAAAAGACAAAAAAACCCAACGGATTTATCACTTGCACAGGTACGCAACGTTTTTCGTACATTTTCGTTTTCATTAAAGTTTTTTTCTTGCTTTTAAAAAAGCTCACATCAGTGGTGCGCGGGGTAGATGCTGCAGATGGACAGGGGAAGAATTATGAACCTACAGGGTTCATAAAAGTCCATCTGGATAGACACAAACTTGAATAAGGTTTTAGCGTAACGTAGGTTTTTACGCAGCACTGCAGCAAAGCTAATGCAACTCTGTAGGTGCTAACGCATCATCGCAGGTGTTCATTCATCTCTATCAGAGTTAATCCACCCTTGTAGACGTCACTGCATCTATGCAGCGGTGGAGATTTGCTCTGTGTCCTGTTTCGAGCCGTGCGTAAAAGCGTGCGCACCTTGGCTTGTGCGTAATTGTCTCCAAAGGAACGTCCTCTTCGTTTCCACTGAGATCGCAGTCGTGCACGAAACGAAGCAGCTGTCCACGCGCACTTACTTTCGAGCTCGAGCTTTTTATACTCTCAGGGCACAAAAAAGCGCACCGATCCAGCACGCGCAATTCACCAATCTCTCTTTTTCTTTCTTTCCTTCTCTTTCTCTCTCTCCGCAGCTCCTCCCGAAGCTCCTCTCCAGCATGAAGCTCCACGTGCTCTCCGCCGCCGCCGCCGTGCTGCTCGTGGCGCTCGTGGCCGCGCACGGCGCGCCGGATCGCGAGGTGGCGGCGAGGCGCGCGCGCCCCGTGCTCGCCAGGCTCGGGGAGGAGTATTTCATCCGCGTGGGGGGCAACCGGGAGCGCGACGCGGAGCCCAGGAGGTGGCTGAGGAGGGCCGTGCAGCTGCAGCTGGAGGGCAAAGTTGGCGCAGAGGGTTACGCGCGGGCGCAGGAGAGACAGACGGGCCAGGAGGAGCAAGAAGAGGAGGAGCAGCAGCAGCAGCAAGAGGTGCAGCAAGAGGAGCAGGAGGAGAGAGCGAGGCGCTCCGAGGAGCCTCCGATCTCCCTGGACCTCACCTTCCACCTCCTCCGGGAGGTGCTGGAGATGGCCAGGGCCGAGCAGCTCGCGCAGCAAGCCCACAGCAACCGGAAGATGATGGAGATCTTTGGGAAGTAGAAGTGGGATGCGCGAGGGGAGCGCGAGCTGCCAAAGGAACATTTTTACGCCACATCGCTGCTTTTCACCATCCCCTCCCCCCTCCCCCCCTTCATTTATTACTACTGTACTTAACCCCTCCGTATAGAGTCCAGTGAGAGAAAGAGAAAAAAAAAAAAAAGAAAGAAAAACAAACAAAACTCTCCTCACTTTGGCATTATTGTTGTATAAGTGCTGAATCAGAACTGTAGCATAAATGCAATGATGCATTATTCGTTTTCTTTTAAGAGACACAAACACAGACAAAAAAAGACAAAAAAGAAGGAAAATATTTTCAGAGTACTGTACTGAAGTTGATATTTTATCTGATAGACTATCTGGTTGCATTGTACCTTATACAGTACATTGTTTAAGTTTGTTAATAAACTACAATGAGCAAGCAGTAATTTTCTGTTGTGCAGGAGAATGTCTTATATTTATATTTTTCAATAAAACATTAAAAGACATTTTTTTCCACTCCTTGTCTAGATTATTGATGTACGGCAAATAGCAGTTGTGAATAAATGGAAAATGATACAAATGATAGAAAAAACAGCTGATTCTTCATGAGGCGCTGACTTCTTGTTGTATTTTGTATTATTCCCCATTGCTTGGCTGCTCTTGGCTCATGTGAGTTTGATGGAAGGATGGAATGATAACACTTGAGTAGACATGCATATTCACCTGCCTGAAGCATTTTGGGCTTGATCTGATCACTAAAGCTGATAAATTAACAGACAAATGCATGCAGATAGATACAGTTCTACCTTAAGTTTTCACATAGATTATATATATATATATATATATATATACATATATATATATATATACATACATTAGCCTTATAAATGGCCTTGTGGCTAAAGAACATTAGGTGCTTTGCAAATATTGCTGCTACAAAAATAATAACAGCTGGATAATAACATACTGCTAATAACATCTTATCATATTGCTAAAAATATCAGTGAAGACGGCCCAGTCTGTTCCCAACAGAACTCACCCTGTGAGCCTCATAAGTGTCACCGTATAAAGAAATTCTGCTCCAAAAGTCCACCAAGTTCTGCACTGGTACTAAAGAACGTTGATTTTATAATTACAATATGATCATATTGTGCTCCTTGACCCAGGGCCACAACAATCAAACCAGATACTATGACTCATTCTATTGTCCACTCTACGTTGCAGCCCGAGACCTTCTGTGGGAGACAGGGCTGGATGTAAGGTCGCACTGAACCGTGTGTTAAAGTGATTGGAAGCAGAAGATCATGGAAGCCACAGCAAATCCATTCCACCACGGCTAGAGAACTTAAGCCAGCGCACAAATCCCAGCGGAGCTAACAAGATAAATAAACCATTACAGTGCACAATGCAGGAGGCTATTTCACAAAGCAGGTTTCCTCACTTAGCTGGATAACTTAAGCCAAAAGTAGAAAGTGCTCAATAAGAATGGCCCTAATCTCTTCTTTTTTTAAATGAAAGTTTCTATTTCCACACTTGTATTAGACAGTGAAGTGTCAAAAGCACTAAAAATAAACCATAGAGGTTATTGGACTTACAAACCAAAAAGATGTCAACAGCAAGTAAATTGCTTTCTATGTTTAGGCAACAAAGTCTGTATATACACTATATGGCCCTCCTTATTATTGAGTTTAGGTATTTCTGCCATACTCATTGCTAAGAGATGTATAAAATCAAGCACATAGCCATGCAATCTCAATTGACAAAAACTAGCAGTAGAATAAGTCGTAATGAAGAGCTCAGTGATTTTAAATGTGGCACTGTCATAGGATGCCACCTTTGCCAGTAGGTTCGTGAAATTTCTGTCCTGCTGGATCTGCTCCAGTCAACTGCAAGTGCTATTATTGTGAAATGGAAGCATCTTGGAGCAACAACAGCTCAGCCACGGAGTGGCAGACCATGCAAATTCATAGAGTTCATGCCTTTAGAAGCAACATCAGCACAAGAACTGTTCATTGGGAGCCTCATGAAATGGGTTTCCATGGCAGGGTAGGCTAAGATCACTATGCGTAATGCCAAGCTTCAGCTGGAGTGGTGTAAAGCATACTGCCACTGGAGTAATGAACTGCCAAGCAGTAAAGTTTGGTGGAGGGGGGGTAATGTTTTTTAGCCCCTTAGTTCCAGGGAATGGTAATTTTAATGCTACAGCATACAAAGACATTTTAGACAATTATATGCTTCCAACTTTGTGGCAACAGTCTGTTCCACCACGAGTTGAGCTCCATAAAGACATGGTTTGGCAATTTTGCTGTGGAGGAACTCCAGTGCCCTGCACAGAGCCCTGACCTCAGTGCACAAATGTACTGAACTCCTTTGTAATTACTTGGAATGTCACTTAAGAGCCAGGACTGACTTCACAAATACTCTTTTGACAGAATGAACATGATTTTGGTCAGCTCCATAATAATGCCCATGATGTTGGAATGGCAACATATTATGTACTCAGAATAAATGAAAGCGTATGATACAATTCAGTTCATACATATGTCACAGTGAACAAATGAACAAATTGTTATCAATGATATTTACGTTGATACTGCTTAATCTGTTGGTCATCAGTCGTGACTGATATTATCAGGCAACTGATTTATTGTCTGGGTTCTAGTGGAGGATACAGATTTTTTGAGTTGAAGGAAACATACATGATTTTTATGAAAAAAAAAAGTAAAATTATGGAATGTTCCATATATGAAACAAAGGAATTGTCCTGTGTATTCACAGAATATGTACTGTAATTTCACAGAATTTTCCAATAAAGAATTGATGGTATTGTCTCAGGAAAATATATGATAATTTTTTACCGGTACATTTTTGATTTTTTATGGATTTTTTTTTACAGTGTAAGTAACAGGCCTCACAATCTCAAACATTTTTGAAACATTTAGAGGCGCAAATCCCCAGTTTATACTTCATAGACTGACTGAGCTAACATACCTTCCAAAGAGGTAGTTTTGTCTTCTTTTCTGTTCTGATATTTTACAGACTTCATATTTGGCTTAAGTTACCCAACTAACCTTGAAATGGTGCTCTGTAAAAAGACCCCATGGATCATCAGCACTAAGCACACCTCGTCTTCACACCGGCCTTATAGTGCTGAGGAAGGTGGACAGCGTTAATGAACATGGATGGAGGGGGTGGTTCTACTGCCTGGACCTCATTATGCTGGGCGCAGCTCAGTGTGAAAGGAGTCAGTGCACCCCCTCCTGTCACCCAGCACCCTCCACTGGGCCAGAATGTATGGATTACGCAAGAGTCCTGGCATCGTTATTTCAGCTCAGCCACCGAGACGCGTCAACTGCACTTGTTTACTGCTAAGAGCCAGAGGACAGCTCTGTGAGCGCAAGAAATGATGAATTACTTCCACGCTGATCCATGGAGTGTGATGCTTGTCGAAAAAGATTAGGGTTACAAGTGTGATGACATGAGCGAGAACAACACGAGACATTATTCCACTGAATTATGTTGATCCTTATTCAAGCATTCACTGTCTAAAAATGGATAGTTGACCTCCATGATCCGCCCTCAAATGCGGTGTTTTGTAGCAACTGCTGTAAATTTGGACAACCTTTGCAAAGTGCTGGGGAAAAGACCATTGGGCCGAATGAGAAAGGGCAGCACACAAATCGTTTTTTGTCATAATATGTATAAGAGTGTGTTATTGTTTTCGGCTGTAGTTTTTTTGTAGTAGCTTGGTGGCGAATTTCTTGTTGTCATTTCCTGTCTGCCTAGTTTCAATAAGTGTTTCTCAAATTATGTAAATTATTCAAATCAGACCAACATTTGGTTAGAGTCACAACATAACGTCAAGCCAGTTTAAAATGCTACAGTACTGAGCTGGACTATGTTGTTGAGGCTGATCTCTTCTAGGCAGCAGTGATAAACCACTACTATTAGAGGATGATCTTCGGTTCAAAAACAAGAAAAACACCTCTATGATAATGCTAATTTCTGCTAGTAGACCAATGAGATTGTATGAGGTTGTATGTTAACGTAAAGCCAATAGCAATTAACGTGAACATTTTGAGGCCGTTCTAGATGAAACACAAACATTTTAAGCTTGTAAAAGATAGTCTGTGTTTTACTTGATGCTTGTAATAGACTCTTTCTGCTACTGCTAGTTTCCTTTTCTAACAACTGACTGAAACCTGGATAGACTACAGCTCATATATGCAGTAGCCAGGACTTCCAGAAGGCCCAGAAGTGGCATTTTTTCTCAAAAAAAGACCCACCCATTGGAAAACGAGATGTAATTATTTGATTCTATTGTCACTTCCTTTGACTTCCTTCCATGTTAGTAGTTAATTTAATGTGTGGCCTAATTACTGAAAGAGCTCACTTGGCTGTGTCTACATCAATACCTCAGGGAAAAAAATCTTGATTGGCCAATTTACCTTGGGAGTTTTAAGAATTTAACCTGTTTGTTTCCAATGAAAACTTAACAATGAAATAAGAATCTTACTTCAATTCTTGCAGAGTTTAAAAACAACATGGATAATGATTATATTAAGTAAAAAATAACTAAAAACTGGGAAATTACAACAACAAATTTGCCACCATGCTAATGTTAGCTCGATAACACAGCAAAAATCTACAGATGATTTATCCGCAGTGCAACACATAGAAAATAAATATTTATATAAATTAACAATGCACTTGTAATTGTATGACTTGTATATTACACACGCACACACACGCACACACACACCTTCTAAGCCGCTTCTCCTTCTGGGTCGTGGGGGGAGCTGGAGCCTATCCCAGCAATCATTGGGTGGAAGGCAGGATACACCCTGGACAGGTCACCAGTCCATCGCAGTTATATATTACAGCTTCTCATTATTTTGAATGGGATTTTTTGCCAGTGTTCTGCAAACATTGTCCAATTTAGCAAAGAATGCATTTGAGGGTGGAGCATGGATTGGTCAATTAACATCCACACTGATCTTCTCTGTAGACAACATTAAAAAAATGAGACAAGAGTATGTTTAGAGATGATCATCATGCCATTCATAATCCAAACCCTGCTGCAGTGCCAACATCAAAAATACCACGGAGGAACACTCCCTACGCAAAGAACAACATGACCAATCTTGGATGAGTTTCCAAAACCATCCACGTTTATATTTAGCTGTTTGCTGTGTGACATCTCTAAATCAGCTGTTAAAAAGAAAGCCTTGCTGCAGAGTAAGAAATTCAGCTGGAAATATGTGTGAAACATTCTCTATTTTCAAGTCCAAAGTCCTATGGTTATAGGTCCCTGGGTCTTTACAGTTGTGTACAGTAAATTACACTGGATGAATCAACATGCATATCATCGCTGTCATATGAAAACTTTGTAACTGTTTTGTTGTAACTTTGTATCTCTGTTTAAAACTTATTTTGCTTCTGCTGTAAAGTTACAATTTTAGCAACAGCACTGATACGCATGAATATGGTTATGGTCTGTGTTTAATATGAATGCTGCAGATTCAGAACTAGGACGAGCCTGTGTTCTTGAGTGTGTTTGGAGCAGGCTGAGG